TGTATATATATATATATACACACACACACTCTTACTTAGTAAGTTACACTTTAAGGTTTTCTTCCTGCTGTTTCATGGTAATATGTTCTTAACATTGACACCGTCTGTTCAAGAAGAGAACTGCAGTGAGTGCAGTATCTGAAGTGTTAACATGAATGTCACAACTCATTTATGTGATTACTGCTTGACTATATGCTCATTTTAAGGCTTTTACTGAGTAACTAGGCAATTAAACATAGTTTGCTTGTGGAAAATTAATCTTGTCAGATAACTGTAGTATTTATTCTCTCTGTCTTTTTCTCTTTTTCTCTGCAGGCCTTTGTAATCTCCTTCACATCGGATTTTGTTCCTCGGCTCGTCTACCAGTACATGTTCAGCCCGACGGGCACCATGCATGGCTTTATTGACCACACGCTCTCCTATTTTAACGTGTCCAACTTTAGGCCTGGCACAGCGCCGCACAGCACGGAGTACGGAAACATCTCTGTTTGCCGGTAACTAATGCACACACGAAAACACATTTGTGGCTTTTTTGATTATATTGGTAAAAATAACGACCCGGTCAATAAAAGTACAACAATTTTCTGTCAAACACACTTTTCACATCCCCTAACCTTCCTTCCCTTCTTGTCTCAGTTCATGACAGGTTTAATATTCTGTCAAGTGAAATCTTTTTAAATGGTTTTGTCTGCAAAGCTCAGTGTCAATTACCAATAGTTGTTCAACTACATTCTGTGTCCAATGGCTTTGATAAGGAAATTTCCAAAAAATTGAAATCATATTTATGATGGTAAAGAGTTGGGTGTCACCAGAAACTGCAAGTATTTACAGGTAAAAATCAGTTTATTTTTATTTAAGTTTATGTCCCCAAAACTTATTGGAACAGCTAAACCAAACAGAGGCACCAGCAAAAGCTACAGAAAAACAGGCTCTGCTGTCATTTTATCAGTAGCTAAGTTATTATGTTATCACTGTCTTAGAAAACTCTTGCTTTTATGTTTAAATATGGGAGTATCCTGTKTAAATAATTAGGTTGGTGAGAATTGCATGGTCCTGTTGCAATGTAATTTTGTCCACACTCAGACCAGTGAGGGTAAGTACTGTAAATCATTCCATTTGCAAAGTTCATGAATTTTWAATTCAAAAATCACAAAGATGAGGKTTTGAACTGACTACCCACCAATTACAGAACAAACCCACTCAATATTCAAGATTTACACAAAGGAGTTCAGTTTTGAAGACCTCCTTGCTGTTGTCCTTCATCAACTAGTTGCCAGCATCATCAACTCAGTGAGATACTACTTTTAGATACCAAATGACCCAGTTCCTACAATCATGTATTTCCAGATTTTTTAGGACTCAAATTTTTTAAATTCTTAGTAAATTGGGGACTCTTCCAACCGCACATGAAAACAAGTACTAAATGTGAAAATGAATGTTTAAGACTGACAAATGCATCTCTGTAGTGTCACTGTGAATCCCCTGTTCATACTTGTTATACTAGCGATGTGCCATCTCAGCTCCACAAAACAGTGAACTATTGTGTCATCTGTGCATTTTTACTGATGCTGATAGTAAGAATCTCTTTCATAACGTTAAAATTAAAGTGCTGTAGAGGGAAAGGTCACACATGTTAGAAGCCACAGACATTTAAGGCTGACCTGCAGTTGCATAAGACAGCAGAGGATCACAGAGTAAGAATACAGCCTTTGTATATGGTTGTGATGCGTCACAGCAGAAACATGGCATGAGCCTTTACGCCTTTAACACTTATTAGGCGTGAAATTTGATGGGAGATGTTCCAAGAATGGGTTTTGTGTCTGTCAATGTACAGTATGTACAGCAGCTATCTGGGCTTAAGGCTAGTCATTCGGTTTTTAGTGCCTTTTTTAAAAATCTGTTAGACTTGATTTTAAGAGTGTGGATGAAGATGCATGTGACAAGAAAGAAAATACAGAATGAATACAGGCATAGTCAAACGGAGGACAGAGAGAGCAGGGATGACACGTTTAGAAAATGATCTGATAAGGATGCAAAGGAATGAGGCAACTTTGGTGATTWGAAGGGTTCAGCAGGACAGAAGGACACTTCAGTAGCACAGATGTGTAGGATAGACTGGATGGATGGTTAAAAAAACAAAGGTTATGAATTTTTCATTAAATTTAAAAAAAGAATATGTAAAACTAAGAAAGTTTCCACCTCAGTGCTAAGGCTTTTCTGACATCTCTACAGTCACTTTTCCATTGAGTTTCTACACTGTTCACCTGTAAAATAGTTAATATTGGGAGAATAATTATAAGGTTGAACTCAAAAAAATACATTACAGTGCAGTTGCTTGTTTAAGGTGTWTTTCTCCTCTGAAATGGTTCTCAGAGTTGAAAGGTTGATGAGAAGGAAATTATACCATCTGGTATGAAAAATTCCAGCTGCWCAATRTTTTTTGTCWGTTTTTGCTTTTAAATCATCATGTGCCTATATAGCCTGTAAATACAAGCGGTTTCACTGCTCTATCTCTATGTATGGAGATAAATAAGTATACAAAGTGTACAACAAGATTTGTATTCGTACAGTAAGATTCAAAATTGCGTAAGTGGTTTTCCGAATATTTTGAAGTTTGCCAGTAGGAAAAGTTTATACACGCAAACTGTCAAATGCTTGAATAATCTGTGAGCGCATGGATCATTTTGCCTGTAACGTTTGACTTTCTTAATGCTCCAGACTCACAAATGTAATGTGTTCTGATAATAATGCTGCGTTCRTGTGTGATTAGTCCAATATGTACGTGCAACATGTTTCTATTCATRCAGTTTAAAAAGTGTTGAACTATTTACACATTTTGATTTAGGCTTGTGAACTTTTATGGTGCGTATACAAATCTTGTGCAGATTTGTGAATACTTTGAGACAAATCTATCTCCGTAACTTCTTTCTCATTTGTCTGATGATTAACCGCCATATGATGGATGGACTTGTGCAAAAGGGAAGGAAAAATAAGAGCATAATCTTGTCTAGAAATCTTTTTCTTTTCCAAATGTCTGTAATGTACRGACACCATTTAGTTCAAAAGCTAATTTCGAAAAATGTGAAGTGATCCATCTCGTTTTGCAAACACTTCGGTACAAAACACCATATAAGTCTGAAACACATACTAATAATAAAAAGACACAACAAAAATTAAAAAAAAATTAAAAACTGCTCAAACAATTGAAACCAGATATTTACATACACTGTATAGAAAGGCTTAAAATCATTTTTTACTTGCTGCCTAATCAGTCTAAATCATTAATGTCAGACAGCGAGAAAAATAGTTGTCTTTTATTCATGTATTCAAACATCTAGTTTTAACTGTAATACAATGGGAGACATGATCTAACCACAGAGAATCTAATAAATTACTGAAGACAAAAAAGGCACTGTTTCTTCAGTTTTCTGGAACTGGTTAGGTTTTGCAACCTCAGACTTGGAGCAACGGACACCTCACTGCAAAATCTGTTYGAAGGATCTTGCTACAAAAAGCAGGAGTACAACAAATTTGCTTTRACACCTGAAACAGAGGCACTCCGTTAAGTGGGAAACAAAATCGAARATCKAATTTGGAATGAAAAAAATCGGAGATTTTTTGTTTGGGCCATATCGCCCAGCCCTACCACCAGTCGAGGTAGAGGTGTTGTTTTCTCTTAAAAAAGGTGAGGAACATWGTAGAAAACCAATTCCAATGAAGTTGAGACGTTGTAGAAAATATAAATAAAAACAGAATATGGTGATTTGCAAATTYTTTTCRACCTATATTCAATTGAACACACTAAAGTAAATGTTGCTGGCATGAATGACTTGTTAGATTAARGTAATAAGTTAGTTTTTTGTCACATCATGTGGCAAGGCTACAGAAAAATTCTAGTTACCAACATGACARTCCCTAATTATTACAGTACTTTTAAATTTCTGACATAACTAAACAAACAGGGACAGCATCATTGGTCTGATGGTGGACTGGCGGAGCCAAGGCTTTTTTCAGGAGGTCTCGTACAAATAAAGGGAATTTTTCTGTTTTTCACATTCTTGACTTTTGTCATTACCCATATGCATTTCACTATTTATCTAGCAAACATCTAAACTGAGTTCACTGAATGTTTGTTTCTTAAAATAAAACAGTTATTGAATTTTGTATTATTATTATTATTATAATTTTTTTTATTGAATTATTAAACAGTGTTTTGAATCTTGGTCTTGTYAAAATAATTAGGTAATGTTTTAAACATGTCTTAAAACTAATGTAAGTAAAGCATAAAAGCATAAATAWGAGTTTACCCATATCAGATATTAATACTGTAAAATGTCACAGTAGAACTTCATAAGAATTCTGTGATTTGTTTAAAAGCTTGGCCCAGTTTCCCCWGCTCTACGTTCCTCCTTTGCTTAGAAAATGAATAAATAATCAGAATCAGAGTGGATGTAGGATGCCAAACYCTGTTGTCATGACAAATATAGTATAAACGTTCAGACACAGAGCTGATAGAAAGTCAAGGCTGTTGTTCAGTGATGAGGGTTGCATACATGTCAAGTTATAGGAATTGTTCAAAAAGTACACAGATTTACCCCCATTTTGTGGATATACGTATAGAGAAATCTCATGGATTTTTTCAAAAACTCAGCTTCAAATTTGTTTTACATCTCAGAGCCTGAAGGCAGTTAAAAAAAACCCAGAAATTACATCTACAAACCCGCTCTTTCGCTAGAAATAAAGTTTGCCACCTCTCCCTGCTCCTCTGCAGTCTCTGTTATCACTGCCCAGCTTTCTGTCTTTCCTCACAAAGGGTCGACATCCAGGTAAACATCCGAAGGGGCTGACATGTATGGGGTTAACTGTGTTTTTATTTTTTAAGAATGGGAATGATTTGACCTTTTATTTGTCCGTATATCATGAGCAGATCCCAGGAGACTCTACTGGCAGTGGTAACTCATGAACACACACAGATCTCACATACTGACCAGAAAAACCATAATCTCATTGAGAGATCTCATGAAAGATTATTGACTTAGACGCTCTAATTGCTGCAGAGCTCTGCTATAACCAAACATGGAGTGGCAAAAAAAACACACATGCACACACAAAAAGTAAGGCAAATAGACAATTGCGAGTTTTTATTTTTTATTTTTATTTTTGTAAAATCATGCAGATGTTATCCCACCATAACAGAATAACTTGTCTTGTTTAACAGTTTAATTCAAGTTGGAATTCGACTGACTTCAAAATGCTCTAAAAAAATGAACAGATCAAAGAAAAAAAGGGAGAGGAGCTCACTCTTATATGGARCATTCCTGACTTATGACTGTATAAGGAGAAGGAGTCAGCCATTGTAAGCCCCAGCTAACACTCACATGAACACACAGAGTTCATCCTTCCTTGTTATTTCTATATTCTTAGTGTGGMCCTCAGTCAGAGCTCATTCAGTGGTTTATCTTTCCTAACTTCAAGGGCTTAGGGATTTAGTTGT